GATTTCAGGCCATAACTCTGTGCACCATTCCCTCCTGCAGCAAAACATCCTAACAATGTGGAGCTGCCACCCCGGTATGTCACACTGCAGTATGGTGTTCTCAGGGCTAAAAACGTCACCCTTTTTCTTACAAAAAAAAATAGCAATATGTTCAAAAAGTTCTGTTTTCTATCGTCACACCATAAGATGTGTCTCCAAAGCTCCAGACTTTGACTCTATCTCAGGCTTCTTCTTTCCAAAGTGGATTTCAGAGCCTGCTAGTACCACTCTTTTTTCAATATTCTGCACTGGAGCTAAAATGCACATTTTATACTAAAAACACTCAACAACATATTCCCAGAATATGTAGTGAAGTATTTTCTATTGTTAACTAAATGCTTTTTATGGAGTTAAAAAAAACTGAATATGATGAAAGGATAAAATGATCCAGTATTGACATTTTTATAATAATTCATCACCAATGGCATTGGGAAATAATACCAAAAATGTTACCCTGAGAGTTTGGTGCCCCCTGGTGGTTGCTTTGCTGTCATTGCTGTAGTAAATCTGTTTACTTTGTAAATAAATCCAGTCTTTACCAACAAATTTATTTCTGTTTCTGCATTTTTGTTTTAAACGTTCAATATCTTTACATCTTTTTTGCTGGGTTGGAATATTTTTTTACTCTAATCTCCTTATTTTAAATCATCACCTCAACATAAAACTCTCCAATCTGAGACAGTCTGGAAAAAAAACAAACAAACAAAAAACTAAATAGACAAAACTGCTTAATTAACTTTATCTTGTATCGTTCTGAACATTAATGAATACTAAGATCTTCATATATTGTCATAAATCCTGGTATCAGACATAAACTCACTGGCTAATTAATCAGCTACATTCAACTGCTTGTTAACTCAGAGATATTCAGCCAATCCAAAGGCAGCAAGCGAGTTAATGTATCTAGATGTATTGAAAGCTATTGGCTAAAATTCAAATTGAGCATCAGAAGCTGAAGATGCTCTGGTCTGATGAGCCAAATAAACATTTAATTACATACAGACTACTTGTTCAGCAGGTTACAAATCTGGGATCCTGAGGTGGCATCAGTCCCCTTTTCAACATGTCTCTTCTTTCACACAACTGAATCAATGAGCAGAGTCACCTGCTCGGTGAGCTGTCAGGTTCTCTGACTGTGTATCGCAGGTATGTTGATCACAGACCCAAAAAAGATGCAGGGAAGCAGACCATGAGTTCAGGAAGCCTGGTCGATGGTGTAATTTATGGAAGCAGAAGCTTGTATCCCACTGAAAGGTTAGATAAGCTCATCATGAAGGCCTGCTCTCTGCCGGGGCAGCAAGACAGGTGAACTCTAGCAAAAACAATATCAATCAGAGATCATCTTAATCAGAGAGACGCTGCTGATGCCTACAATGCACAAAGGAGAGTCATCATAGATCCTTCCTCCCAGCTGTTGTTAGATTTTATAGCTATCACAACTGTAACACAAACACCACACATAAACATATTTTGCTACCACAAAAAAGGCTTAAATCTCAGGCAACTGGACATTTCGTTTTTTCTTTCCTTAAGACTTTAACACCTTTCCACTTGCACTACATGGACATTTAATGGTTTGTTGCTGCAAATGCTGTACTTCTTCCTACAAATATTTCTAGGTTTTGTCAT